AGGTTCAGCTCGCTTACTTTTCAGACTTAAAAGCCATTTTTTAAAGTCTATTTTTTACATATTTGACATTTTAAATTATACTATTTTAAAAGAAAAATATTAAAATAAAATAAAAATTATTAGATTGAAATTTAACTTTGTCTCCAAAATCCGCTAATTCAAAAATTAATGAATTAATATGATGCTAATTTCATTTGAGTAATTATATTAGAAATATTTTGCTAATTTGAGAATATAAATTGTACATTAAAATTGTTAGATTAAAATAAAATATAAGGTTAAAATTTATATTAAATCTTTAAACATAGTCTTAAAGATAATATAATCCTTCTCGTATATAATCAAGTTGTCTCATGAATCTAACGAGTCGAACTATGTATAGTTCAAATTCAACTCATTTAGTTAACGAACTTAGTTTTTCACTGATATTCAGCTCATTAAATTTATGAGCCAAGTTCAGCGAACAAATTATCGAACTGAATTCCGAACTATTTTCAAGTTGGTTCGGTTCATTGTCAGCTCTACCTAGAAATCATGTGTAAACGCAACTCTTCTTGACCTTATTTTTAATTAAATTTTACTTAATAATAATTTTATTATTTTTGTTTTTAAGAAATAGTCAATGTCAATTTAGACTATTTTAGACTTAAATAATATATTGGTCCGGAAAATTAATGAGTTTTTCATTTTAGTCATGTAATTTTTATTTTTGGTCTGAATTTTTATGTCTAACTTTTTGTTGCGGTTTAGTTTTCAAAGTTAAAATTCATATATTCTTGTGAATTTTAAAACTAAAACGCAGGCAAAAAATAAAATATAAGGACTCCGATAAAAAAAATTATATTAAACAAAATAAAAAATTTACCACCTTACCAGAATCAAAAATACATTTAAGCATTTTTTAATATGAAAATAGAGATCAAAATTTAAAAAACAAAAAGAATAATAGTTTGAATAATTTATTTTAAGCAATATATACTTAAAATAAAAATGACTAAATTATGTGGTTTGAGTATATATTTTATAAAATAATTGACCTTGAATATATATTTTAATATTCAATCAAACCAAAGCGATTTATTTTTATTATATAATACAATAATAAAATTGTGAATTAATCCAATTATTCTGAAAAGTGAAATAAAGATAGAAAATACAATATGATTTGTTTAAAAAAACTCTCATTTAAGTAAACTTGACTTTTAATTACCATATTACTCTTCTTACGTGGAAATACTTCCATTAGCGAATATTGCTAACATATAAGCTGTATTTTACTCATTTCTTAGTATTTTTATCATTCTAATTTATTTTATCGTCGTCTATTTAAATAAACATTCAAAATAAAATTTAATCCAACGAAATAAATAAAGTTTAATCATAAAATACAATAAAATAAAAAACTTTTTTTACGCAATAAAATAATTATGTTTTAAAACCTGATCCAACCCTCCAACCATACTAATTAATTTGAGAATTAAATAATAGAGCGATATGAAAAGGTCATAATACGGTAATAAAATGGTGTGATATATTCGATTCAATGATTAATTAGATTTTTGAAAGTGACAGATTTGTTATTTTTTGATTTTTTTTAATCTTATCAAAACCACGTCACTTTGAGTGGTAAGAAAAAAAAAATCTAAAGAAACAAAAAATATATTTCTCCTCTTTCATATTTAGAAAACCTTTTAAAACCTATTATATTATACTTTTATAACTTGTTGATTTTGAATTTATGTTATATTTTGATTTTTAAAAATGTTTGGACTTTGTTATGTTTGCATGAACAAATTTTATAGATTTTATTTTGTACATTTTATAAGTTTAAAATATATGTTAACAATTTTATTTCATGAATATTTTTTAATTTTAAATTATCTAAATCGAATTACACTGCGATTCGACCCATAATTTAGAAATTTAATTATGGCGTGGTAACCACATGAGAAACAAAAATTCAAAAGTGTCTTTATTTTTACTGACGTGGAAAACAAGTCACAAAGTACCCACATGGGATGCAAGTCGCAAATGAGAAAATATTAAAGTTGATCTGCTTTACTTTTACAGTTGAGACATATTAAAGATGGATTTGACTTTTGCAGGGTTCCCACGTGATTTCCACGTTGCAAATGAGACACATTAATGTATTATTTTATTTTAGTACCGTTGTTTCTCAATTAATATTTGAACGTTGCAAAATTATATGTTGGGAAATTTTCGACGTGCATCTCACGTGGCTACTTTCCCATGTTGGTTTCACGTCACAAGCTTTATACTTTATTGAGTGTTCCGACGTGGTATTCACGTGAGTACTTTTCTACGTATCTACCACGTCGTAAATGGGACTATATATTGGCAAGTCTCAGAACTCCTTTCACGCATTTCTCTTTTCATTCCTTCTTCCTTCTTCCTCCTTCCTTCTGCTTATGTGTTTCCTTTCCTCCTTCACTTCACCGCTTCACAAACATTTTCAGGTAAATGTTACATTCTTAGTTTTTGTTTTTGTTTTATATTTTATTTTAATTTTTTCTTATTATTAATTTTTAATTTTTTTTCCAGAAGTTTAAGATTTGGAAGATTAAGCTTTAGTAATTTGTTCCATTGAGGTATTTATGTAATTAAAATTATTTATTTTTCAGATTTATAGGTATATGAAATGTTTGGTTGTTGTTGCATAAAATTAGAATTTATTGATTATATATGAAAAACATAATATATATATTATATTTTAAATGTGAATAATATGGATTATATATGAATAATATTGTATATGAAATATTTGGTTGTTGTTGTTGTATTTAAATATGTTATTTTTATTAAACACAGAATATATATATTATATTTTTGGCTATTGATTATATATGAAAAGTAAATTATATATTATATTTTAGAATATTATATTTTAAAATATGTATTATATTTTTAAAAACAGAATATATATTATATTAGAAAAAACAGAATTTTTAAAAATATTTTTAGTAAACAAAATTTTAGATAGAAAAAATTAAAAAGTATTTTTTAAAAAACATAAAGTTACGTAGATTAGAAAACAAAATTGTAAATATTTTTAGAAAAAGTATTTTGTAAATAGAAGTATTTTTATTAAAAAATAATGAATATGTATTATATTTTAAATGTGTTATTTTTAGTAAACAAGTTATATATCATATTTTAGAATATTATATTATAGAATATGTATTATATTTTAGTAAATATAATATATATTATTTTAGAAAAAACAAAATTTTAAAAATAATGAATATATATATTATATTTTAAATGTGTTATTTTTAGTAAACAAATTATATATTATAATTTAGAATATTATATTTTAGTAAACATAATATATATTATTTTAGAAAAAAAATATTTTTAAAAATAATGAATATATATTATATTTTAAATGTGTTATTTTTAGTAAACAAATTATATATTATATTTTAGTAAACATAATATATATTATATTAGAAAAATAGAATTTTTAAAAATATTTAAATTTATTTTTATTAGGTTAAAACAATGTGAAAAGAATTATATTATTTTTCATATTAAAATCACATATTTAATTAAAATTATATATAATGATAGTACAAATGTGCCGTATGAAATATTTTCGTTACTATCGTAGTTGGATGTACGATAGAACTATACCAGGCAGACGTGGACTTACACCAAATTTTGAGGAAGGAGTTAAGGGGTTTATCACGTGGGCATTTGCACAAGAATGTTGTCGACGTGAAGAAGGAGTAAGATGTCCTTGTCTTAAATGTGAATGTAGATCTATAATTAGTGACCCAGAGGAAGTAGAACGTCATTTGAAGAGGAAGGGTTTCATTAAAAATTATTAGGTTTGGACATATAATGGAGAACAACTGCCGAGTAACGTACATGCAGAGACAACTAATACACACACATCAAGCAGTCGATCACATATGGAATTTGAGGAACAATTTAATCTGATCAATGATATGGTTGGCAATGCATTTGAAGTAAATGTGACATATGATGAACCTCAAGATTTTGATGGGGAAGAGTTGCCGAATGAGGAAGCACAAAGATGTTACCAGTTATTGAAATAAATGAATACATTGTTGTTTGAGGGGTCGACAGATTCAAAATTATCAATGTGTGTGAGATTATTGGCCGCAAAGTCAAATTGGAATGTTCCTGATCAGTGCTTGGAATACTTTACAAAAATGATGTTGGATGCGACTCCTACGAAAGACAACTTGCCTACAAGTTATTATGATGCAAAGAGGTTGGTGTCGAAGTTGGGTTTAGAAGTACGAAAGATTGATTGTTGCATAAATGGATGTATGTTGTTTTATGACAATGAGTTTGGTATTAATGATGAGGTGCTAGAGGAATGTAAGTTATGTAAAAGTCTGAGATATCAAGTTCGTAGTAAAGCCATTAACCGTAAACAAAAACGTGTAGCAGTGAAGTCCATGTTTTATTTACCGATAATACCAAGGTTAAAAAGATTGTTTGCTTCAATGCACAGTGCAAGTCGAATGACATGACATCATACAAACAAAACAAGTTCAGGCATTATGCGGCATCCATGTGATGGTGAGGCATGGAAACATTTTGATAGGGTACATTCTGATTTTGCTGCATAACCTAGAAATATCAGGCTCATACTATGCTCTGATGGATTTACTCCATACGTCTAAGCATCCACAATTGCATATTCCTGTTGGCCAGTTATTGTAACCTTTTATAACCTCCCTTTAGAGATGTGCATGACAAAACCATACATGTTTTTGACTTGCCTCATTCTAGGACCGTCAAGTCCTAAAGCCGGAATCGACGTTTATTTACAACCTTTAATAGATGATTTGAAGAGGTTGTGAATTGGAGAATGGACTTATGATATATCTCACAAACAAAACTTTACTTTGTGAGCTGCCTTGATGTGGACTATTAATGACTTTCCCGCTTATGAAATGTTATCTGGTTAGGGTACGCATGGAAAAATGGGATGTCCATATTGCATGGAATTTACAAATGCTTTTACTTTGGAATTTGGAGGGAAAACTTCGTGGTTCGACTGTCACCGTAGATTCCTGCCACGAGACCATGTCTTTAGAAGAAACAAGACTGATTTCAAAAAAGATGTACAAGTAAAAGATTTTCCTCCTCCTCGATTGTCACCAGAGGAAATATGGAATCGAGTTTTTGAACTGCCAAAATTCACAAATTATGGTGAAGCATACAAAATTCAAGGATATGGGGTCAAACACAATTGGACAAAAAGAAGTATATTTTGGGACCTCCCATATTGGAAAGATAATTTATTGCGACATAATTTTGATGTTATGCATATTGAAAAGAATTTCTTCGATAATATATTTAACACAGTGATGGATAATCAAGGCAAAACAAAAGATAATGAGAAGGCTAGAAGGGACATGGAAATTTTGTGTGATAGAAAAGACTTGGAGTTGAAGCCTCAGCCTAATGGAAAATTATTAAAACCTAAGGCTTGTTATAGTCTAACTTCCCAAGATGCTAAAGCGGTTTGTCGATGGTTAAATGAATTGAGAATGCCCAATGGTTATGCTTCAAATTTAGCAAGGTGTGCTGACACCAAAACTGGGAAGTTGCATGGAATAAAAAGTCATGATCGTCATGTTTTCATGGAATGATTGCTTCCAATTGGGTTCAGTTCACTACCCAACCATGTGTTATATCCGTTAATTGAAATAAGTCAATTTTTCAGAGATATTTGTGCGTCAACATTAAGAGTCGATAGCATCATTAAGTTGGACCAAAATATTCCAGTTATTCTATACAAGTTGGAACGTGTTTTTCCACCTGGTTTTTTCAACTCTATGGAGCATCTACCTGTGCATCTTGCACATGAAGCCTATCTTGGTGGCCCCGTTCAATACAGGTGGATGTATCCCTTTGAAATATTCATGGGTGATTCAAAGCGATCAGTGAAAAATAAAGCTAAAGTTGAAGGATCAATATGTGCACATTACTTGCATCGGGAAACATCACATTTTTGCAGTCATTATTTCAATCATTTGATGGTAACTCCAAGAATCATAAGGAATGAATTTGATGTTAACAAAAGAAGTCAGTTTACCTTGTCAATCTTCAGTCTTCTCGGTAGCCCCTCTGGAAAGAAGAATGTGCATTGGCTGGCCCAAAAAGAATTGCAATCTGCACATGTTCATGTTCTAATTAACTATATTGAAGTTAGGCCATATCTTGAGTAAGTATACCCCTAAAGTAACTACCTATCTGGCTTTACAAATTGAATTATTACATTCTAACTAATAGTATGTTTCTTTATAGGGCATTTAATGCCTCCTATTTTCAAAGCACCGGTGAACAAACAACTACCAGTCACATACATGCATCTTTTCCAGCATGGTTCAAGGATCAACTGTCATGCATTGTTGCATTGACTCAAGAAATACTTCATTTGAGAAACTTATCTAGAGGCCATGTTCAAATAGCAATTGAATGACACACATACTTTGTGAACAACTATAAATTTCACACCCAGGCTTGGACAGAAGGGGGAAAAAAAATCATAAATAGCGGTGTATTTGTTAAAGGAGTTACAGATGGTGGTGAAGACGACTTCTATGGCGTTGTTACGCATATTTACGAGTTGGCATACAATTACTTGGACTCGGAAAAAAGAGTTGTCTTGTTTTATTATGATTGGTATGATCCATCTGCCAGGGGCACAAAAATAGATAAGAAATATAACACTGTTGATATTCGAATGGACAGAAGGTACAAAAAGTATGACCCTTTCATAATGTCACATATCGTTAAACAAGTTTATTATGTTCCGTACGCTTCAATTCAGTCACTTAACGTGGATGGTGTATTATAATCAAAACAAAGCCATTGGGTCATATTGAAACTGACGATCTAGTGGAAGATGCTACTTACCAAGACGATGAAATTTCTCAAATTAATGATGTGGTTGAAGTTGAAGAAATTACAAATTTGTGTGATACATTGTCCGAGGGTCATCAAATTGATGGGTCTGTGTTGTTGGTAGATAATAATGTGGACGAAGAGCATGAAGAGTTTGGATCTGAGGACATTATTGGATCAGATGATGAAAATAATATGGATGAAGAGTTTGAATAGATAGATAGTTTTTATATGTGTTCGAACAATTTTTATTAATGTATTATTTATTTTATATGAATGCAAATGATTTTTACGTGTGTATATTGTGTTGATAATAGTCTTGATTTATTTATTGATAACTCTTTCAAAATAGATAGAATGCCACCCAGAACTGACAAGGGTAAGGCTAAGGAGACCCAACCCCGTTCGAGAGCTAGAGTACGTGAGGTACCTCCCTCGCCCATGTATGCTTCTCGTCCATAGACTCGAGCAGATCTAATGTCCGTAGACACTTCACAGCCATTTACGACATTACTCTCCTCCTCCCAAATGGTTCCATCTGGGAATCTATCGTTTATTAGTCTGTTTGGGGGATCCTTCATGCATCCGCTTGGGGGATCAAATTTTCCTCAGGTACCATCTTCGTTCACGCAGCAGCCTGGGGGATCTAGTTTTCTTCCTCAGCATTATTCCTTCACACAGTAGTCTGGGGGATCTAGTTTTCCTCAGCATACTCCCTTCACACAGTCTGGGGGATCTGGTTTTCCTCAGCAGTATTTCTTCACGCCAAAGCCTGTAGGATCTAGTTTTCCTCAGCAGACTCCCTCCACGCACCAGCCAGGGGGATCTGGCTCCCGCATTCCACACCCTACACATATACCTGCGCGTCAGGAGCAGGATGACCACCCTATTCAGGAGGATGACGATGTTCACGAGGAGCAGGAAAATCCTGTTGCAGGGGAGATTTTGGTGGTTGAAGGACGACATCTAATTAGGCCTGAGGGATCTGGGTGTGTTTTTAATTTATAATATTTATTTAACTATATATTTTCATTTTATGTTTAATACTCATTCAAATTATTGTTGTTTAGTTTTGATTCGTGTCGGCCTGCTGCAAAAGCTGTAAACTGAGTCATTCAATTGATGTATATAAAACTCATTAAGTCTTTCGGAGAGCTCCCAGATACTGAGAAAGATATATGGTTTGATAAATTCAAGGTAAATTGTATTTTTATTATAGTTATGTTATTTTATAATTATTTTTTGTTATATAAATATCTAACATTTAATTTGACTGTCATATAACTTGCAGGAAATGTGTACTTGGCAAAAATTTGACGAGTTCAAAATTAAAAAAAAAAAGAAAAAGAAGTAAGGTACTAACAGATTATCTGACATGCTCAGGAATGCTAGACAACGTTAGGAAAGAGATCAAACTCGTCCTAACTGGATAGGCGAGGAAATATTTGGGGAACTTATTGAGTGGTGGAAGACAAAAGATTTTCAGAGAAGATCTGAACATGCAAAAAAGATGAGGGCATCTGAAGCAGGTGACTGTCTTAGTACAGTTGAAAGTATCAGTATCGGCGAACATCGTCGAAGAATGGTAATTATAACTATTTTTTAAGTTCTATTTTGTATTATTATATATTTAATTAAACTTAATTATTTTAATTGGAAAAAGGATTTAGGGAGGGAGCCACGAATTAATGAGCTATTTGTGAAGATCCAAACCAAAAAATCGGGGGAATTTGTTGACGGTCGTTCCAAATCAACCTTGGTAACTTGTTTATAGTTGAATTATTTTATTTCATAATTATTGTATATAATTAAATTGTTTAAAATATATTTAATTTAATTTAATTTTTTCAATGTGTGTGTAGGAGTTGTACCAGACCTTGCTTGCCCAATTTCTAACTGAAAATCCTCAATATATGCTTATTAGGAATGCACCGCTTGATCCACGCGTGGATCTTTATATTTGGAATTTAACAGTAGGCGAGAAGGGAGTCAATGAGTGTTTTTTTGGTCTTGGATCTTTGGCTGGCGATTATAGAAAAGGGGACCGAACTTTATTTCAAAGGCTCGATGATGGGGAAGGAGGATCTCGTCCGGCAGAATTGACATCAGAAATATTGGCAATAGTGAGAGAGTTAGCTCTATCTGAGGCGAGACGTGAGGCGGAGACACGTGAGGCGGCCCTAAAGGCCAAAATGGAGAATATGAGAAATAGGCAAAATGCTGAAATGGAGGAAATGAGGAAGCGGCAATCCGACATGGAGGCACAAATGCGACAATTTTTTGTCTCACAATCAAATTATTTTGTCCAAGATGTTGAAGAAGACGAAGATGCTATATTTAGTACTGACGATGAATAACTTTTTATTATTATTATTTATGTTTGTGACGTGAATATTACGTGACAATTTTTTTATTATATTTTTTATGTGTGTGACGTGAATATTATGTGACTAAATATTTATATCTTTTTTTAATGTATATATTAAAAATTTTAAAAAATTTAATTGAAAATTATTTTAATTTTTAATTTTATTATTTATTAATTCGTTGTATTCATTAATATTTAATGTTTTTTATTATTAAATTATACAGTAAAGTGAAAACAAAGTCACTAACTTAAAACATATTTTATTTTGTGGCATGGGAACCACGTCACTAATTAGTGACATGGAAATCACGTAGGAACATTTACATTGGTGCCAGACTGAACGTGCTGCAGACATTTTAGGAAAGGTGATTTCCCACGTGAATTTCACGTGGGAACGCTTTCAATTATTTTGGTGGTTTGTGGCGTGAATCACATGTCACAAATTAGTGACGTGATTTTCACGTAGGAAAATGTTCTCACCGTTGCTTTTCCGACGTGCTTTTTCCACGTCGCAAATTTTGTTTAGTGAAGTGTTTTTTGGCTTAGTGACGTGAATACTATGTGGAAAATTGCAATATTTCTTGTAGTGTATCCTATTTCTTACATAGTCTTTTCTAATATTTATATGATATCTATAGAAAAAGAATAAAAAAATAATAAGGATTAAATATACTTTATTTCTGTAATATGTAAATACTCTTTTGTTTTGCCTATTTAGGTGACAACTTTACGAAGAATCCTCATTTTTGTTGACGTTTAAGTGTTTTTTTATAGATATTTTTTAAAACCCACATGTAGATTTTTTTTATTTTTTATAAAATTTTTAAAACTTTTTAATTATCAAGAGGGAGTAAATCAAAATCCGCTCACATTGCATGGGTAAGTCAATTTAAAACAATAAACTAATAATACTTCTTTATAATAAAACAAACTACTACTTTTTTATTGAATAATAATAAAAATTATTTGTTTATTGGTTTGCTTTACAATAAAGAAGTGTTATTGATTTATTGGTTTATATTGATTTACCTTTGCAATATGAGCGAGTTTTGATTTACCCCTCCCGATAATTAAAATAAAATATTTATTTTAAAAAAGAAATTAAAAAAAATATCCACGTGGATTTTATAATATAAATAAATAATTAAAAAATTACTTAGACATGTCACGTCAGCATGAGTGAAGATTATTTACCTAGTTGTCACCTAAGGGGGCAAAGAAACATAATCTTTAGATTACAAGGGAAATCTAAAATATATATTTTACAAGGGGGTAAAGCATATTTAACCCAAAAAATAAAGGATGTATATGTGCGGTCTATATTAGCAAAAAAAAATCTGAATAATTATTTCCTTCTTTAAATATGTGTGAAATGATGAAAGACATATCGAAAAGAGTCTTGATACATATTTCTTAATTACCAAGGAAACAAATCAATGTTTGAAGATGAAAATGTTTTAACCATTCCACCCACAAATTTTGCCAACCTCTATCTTTTATGATGATTTCTCGACAAGTTTACCGATAGTGTCAAAGTAATAAAATAAAAATCTTATCCACATGGATTTCTATTTAATAAAACCATGATTGTTCGAGTAGTAAAAGTAAAATTAGGGTGGGAGGGGGTTTCAAGTTTTTATGTGAAAAGTAAACTTGTTCTTAAATTAATGCGAGAAAGCGACTAGATTTTGCCTGAATCCCTTGTTTATCCCCTGTTGATGTTTAATGCATTATACACATGGTAACGTCGTTATACTTTCATGGAGAACTAACAAAATCACTATACCCAATTCCTTGGTGTGCAACCAACTAACTTCAACTAGATGTCTTTTATCTCTATTCAACCGACATAAGTGAATTTAGGCATTGTTATAGTATATTATTTCAAATGCCACTACTAGTTATATCCTATCCCTATTCAACCGGTGAAAGTAAATTAATTTTCCTAGTTCAAACTCATAGGCTTAGAGTCAGTAATCCCTACCTGTCTACAATCATATTATTAGCACGTACACAAATAATAAGCATTACAAGTAAAGGGAATTAAATAAAAATACAACTTCAATTATCCATATAACATCAAATTAAACACGTGATCCAACAGGTTCTAAAATTTTTATCAAATAAAACCTAATCTATAAGAGTTTAGCTACTCATATTGATACAAAGAAATACCAAGAAATAAGATGAAGATAGCATGTGAAATC